ATGAAGTGGAGGCTAACGCAATATGTATATATGTATATATACGGTTTTTATTAAGCTTCGCGTGGTCACGATAATGCATAAATTTTTACAGTTGAAAAAGGTAGAACAACTTATGAGAAAATTTCTTATTTTTGATAAGAAAATAAAAAAGGCGAAGTAGTGTTATTCATCGTTTATTGAACTATAATGAGATGATTGAAATCTAGCTGGTTGCTAATATAGATTGTTTGATTCAACGATGTCCTGTGGCCAATCTTTGCGTGTTTGTACTGAACGGCGCGGCAGTAATTGTGTTTGTGGTTGTGTTTGGATGCACTTGAATACCAAATCGACGAAGTCTCACTATACTGTTGACAAGATGAATGAGTTCGTTTCGATAGATACGAGACGAAAGGAAATATAAGATAAAAGCTGTGGAATACGAAAGATGAAAAAGAAATTGAAAAATAGTGTAGAGAAAGTAGAATACTATCGTGGGTTTATATACCGACGACAGGACCAACATAAGATAGGTTACGCTAGTGGGAATATTCAGAACAATGTGAACGCCTAACTGAAGAAGAAGCATATGGGCTAGTTGAGTTTCGGTGCGACGATAGCGTGAGACTGCTGCACGAATAGTACCATGTCGTTTTATATGATAGATGGTCATGAAGCCGAACAGAGCCATCCCTAAAGGTGGAACAATGGCAAAGAATGAAACTTGCACTATCAAGTACACTTGATTGTAGATAGTATCGTCTCGAATGCGACATCCGAAGCCATCACTTTGTCGTACATCGATCAAAACTAGAACATTGCTGAGAAAGAGACTAAGTACAACTACCATAATTAGAATTGCCCATTTAGCCACTTTAACATTGCTTAAATTACGTAGTTGGACACGAGCCGAAGTCGCACAGTATCGGTCGACGGAGGCAAGGATAATGAAGTAAGGCGATAGGAACGCTGATAAAGTGTTGACGTACGTGATCACTTTGCACATGATGAGAGATTTATCCACCAGTGCCAATTGATATCCGTCAGTCAACAAATGATAGATCAACATAATACTTGAGTAGAAGAGATTGTTGCCGGCAAGAGCAAGAAAATACCGAGAACACGAGTGTTGATACAAGGCTGGTCGATTGAGCACAATTATATTGATTGAGTTACCCATTACGCCCACAAAAATGATAATGGGCAAAATAGCTCGTATCAGTTCAATGCCAAGTTGCGTTAACGAATTCACCATAGCTTTTCTCGTTCTATTTCTATTTAAATGAGGATAATGTTTGCTGTCACTGTTTCTCGAATTCCTTAAATACACCAATCTCACCCATGTATTACTAATAATAAATCTAAAAAAAAGAACTAGGTTGAATAGGCGTTGACAGTACCCGTTAGCATTTCACTATATTCTAATGAACACATTCATATTTCACATAGAAATATGATGCACAGTGCAACGACAAAAGAGAGATTGTTTAGTATCTGGCTGGGTTGCATTGTAAAGACAAACTGGATGGAGCAGCTTACCGCCACCCTCGGTAATGATGTTTATTGAATTATTTCACATCTCCAGGATGCATCTACTTCACATACAACGCACGCTTATATGCGAGAAAGAAGAGAAAAATAGATGAACAGAGGAAGGAACAATAGAGGCAGCTATATAAAGACGAAAGAGGAAAGGAAGATCACAGCAGGAGGTGATATCAATATCGACACACACAGCTTTTAGAAAAATTTTATTATCACAATAATAATTACGAAACCAAGATTACATACTGGTCGCAGAGAAATTTTATAGAAGTTGAAGCGCCTAATGGGAAAAAAATAATTATAAAAAATTGATTTAGCTCTACGAGATGAATATCATATGATCACGAAGCACGCGTTTTACCTGTGAAAACTGCGGACACACTTTCAGGTAAAAAAACAATTTATGTAAAAGTCAGAAAAGATCCATTTTAAATGGCTAAAATCATTATTCTTTTATCGATTGTCAATTGGTAGCGAATCGATTACAATAAAAACAAATCAAAGTCAATTCATTGTAGATTTCTAATTTATTAAAAATGTATGATGTTATTGAACCTAGAATCAACGTTTTGCATCACTTCTTTTATAAAGACTAAATCTGCATTCGTCACAGCATCAGAAAATTTAATTTCATATATGCTTATACTTTTGTCATCGCTTAGCAAAAAGTTAAGGAATGTTACACCGTGCTTTAGAAAGCTGGTAGCTTCGGAGAGCTTGAATATTTTTCGTGTAGCTTCCTCTTGTCATACTTTGTAGTAAAACATTATATAGAATGTTTGAAGAGAATTTTACGGTATATATCTTTCAACATGAACTTAGATGAAAATTAAAAACATTATATAAATAGTAAAATTTCGCATAAAAAGCTATTTATGTATTCTGAACCATCCGATTTTTAATTTTCTAAGGTCTTGTATAAGTAAAAGTGAAAGTAATTATGGCTGTCTGTATCTGAAAGAAAGGCTATCCTTCAGTTGAATCAAAACACGCGCGATGCAGTAGGGATGTGTAAATAATATCAATTTCGAAGACTATTCTTTTTCAGCGTTGGTAATGTCTGTGGGTATTGACAATTTCACAAGTACCCGCATATGTTGAAAAGTTTCATTATTGATTAAGAGTTTACGAACTGAACATTGGTAATACGTAGACAAAATAAAAACAATGCTAAGTTAGTCAGCTTGTAGAAGATATCTGGTTTTTGTTCAAAAATATTTCCATTGAACTTCTCATGCCAGATCACAATGTCACTCAAAGTACTGGGATCAAGAGAGAAACAGAATTCAATCAGTTGTAAATCTGCAACAGAAAAAAAGAATTTAGAATCAATTAATTTAACTAAAAGCCGCCATGTTTGAGTAGTTACGTTGTTCGTTACGTATCCACAAGGTACTGTGTTCAAGCCTCAGTAGCATCATTCATGGAATGATCTTGAACAAGTCACTAACGGCTAGTTCTTTCGGATAACTCATTCGATAGCGTGTTGATTACGTCACTGGTCAATATGCAGAGTAAAACTACAACGTCAACATAGATGTCACAATCTTGTGATTCATATGTTGACCGCCAACCGGAAATTCATAAACGGGGGAAGCGTTGGACGGAAGGGGTGCAGATACCATCGTCCGTAAAAAGAAAAAGACGAAAGAACCTGACTGCTTATGTGGACCCTTTAGCGCCGGCCCCAACGGGCGATAAGCCTATGGGAGATATTATATTATATATTATAATTTAACTAAAATTGAGAAACATGATAAGTAAATAATGATAACTATGCAAGTTTGTGCTCATCATCTCTTCAGGATGGTAAGCGTATTGATTTCCTATAAGTATCTTTAATCCTCATTCCGCAGTATTTGTCTGATTCACGGCGCTTAAATGTGATTTTTTGAAAATTAATGAAGGTTATATCTATTTTCTAACAAAATCTTGAAATTTTCAGATGAAACTTCGATTTCGAAGACAAAGTAGACAGACCAGGCGGCCTGCCTGACCTGTGCCGGTATCGATAACCAGCCGATCCGGTACCGGTCTATATTTTTCACTTTCCTGCTCTATGATGGTATTCATATGAAAAAACAACTAGCACCAAGACTAGTTTCACTGATCACACAGGAATTTATTTAAAAAACAGTTTTTAGAATGCCCATCAGTGAGACTATTGTTATCAACGGTGAACCATTATACCAGTATGCGTGAAAGTACGAGGATAGCCCGCAAGAGAGTTCACTATGAAACAAGGTTTCACTTCAAGCCTCAGTCTGTTGTCTGTAGATAGATATTTTGTCGGTAAGTCGGATTTTCTCTTATAAACTGACGTGTCATCAGCGTTCTGTTTAGTACCAGTAGGTTAGTTTTGGCCGGTACACCCGTCAGATCAACTTTTTCCGGCAAATCTGTTTCGGTCTGTAAACCGGTTTAGATTGGTCAGATCGGTTGTACCGGTCCGATCCGGTCTGTTTTGCTTTTGGCCGGTACCGGTACCGGTCTGAAAAAAACTAGACCGGTTCTATCTCTGCCTCTGGTAGCAATCGATTTCTCGATCCCGAAAACCTTTCGTCAAACTTTATTAAATATATGTTTTTTTGACCTCGATGTTTTTTTGACTTCAATGTTTTTTTTTATTTCGATGTTGTTTTGACCTTGACACACACACATATAACCGCATTTTATTTCATATGATTCTTCCTTCAGTCGAGGGAACAAGATGACTTTACTCTTAGAAAGTTATTCCAACAAGTAACGTTCGTCGCTTCGACTCATTTGACCCTCGACTGAATAAGACAAAAGTATTTTCTGTTGGTACTGAACTGATAGGACCGATCTACGAATCCTACCTCTGAATTGCGACGCAAATTTCTCCCCTTCAATTGTAAAAGCGCAAAAAACTGTTTTGTCTTTTTTTAATATAATTTTAAAGTAAATCTCATTTCCCAACCAAAATTTGTAACTAAAGTCAACTTGTCTACATCTAAGTCAGCTTTAATTAATAAACTCTTCTAGTACAATAAATAGTACGTATTGTAAAGTGATCATGTAATGAACCATATTAACTCAAATTGGTAATACACGGTTATATAATAGTTATAACAATTTTTAGATTAAAAGTTTCATTTTATGAACATCTCACAAGTATTATTGGTTTATTAGCAATAACGAACGTGTAATTGGGTAAAAAAAGAAATATTTAAAAAACATTATATACTTTAAAATATGGAAAAAAAAACAAAATATTAAAAAATTCGACATAATAATACAGCGAGAGTAATTACGAGATAAGTAGAATATAGATTGAAACATATAAAGAAAAAAGGAAACAAGAAATAAAATATAAAAAGTGAATACTAGAAATGTAACAAAGCTCTAACATGCGCCACATATGCAAGAATATAAGTTTTAATAATCATGAGTAAAACTTTAAAACCACTCAAAAAAACGACTTTGTGTCACCAAGTATAGTTTATCTAGTCTCTCTATCTCGGCGAGGGTTGAGATTTACTTGTTTTAATTAATAAAACTTTGTAATCAAAATGTCGCAGAATGATCAAATCAGCCAAGCTTTTTACACGCGACAAAGGCACATAAATTACGGTAATATCATCATTTTCATTTGGTAGTTTCAAATCAATTACAACATTATTTAAAGTTTGGCCTTGCCTTTTATGTGTCGTAATAGAGTAAGAAGGTACGAGTGGTAGTGCACGCCACTTTATTGATAAAATTGCCTTCCAATTTGATTTTTGTCTCTTATCTTTTGACAGAACATCGGCAATATCAATTCGAAATGTTTGTTCCGTTAACGATATTGGAACGAAATTTGTTTGAAGTTGTTCAAGATTACATTCAATCTTCGATTTGGCAATTTCAAGTAATGCATATAGAAGCCGATGAATGTATTGAGTGTTGTTTGGAAATGTTTCGGAAAGAGCTTCTGTTGTCACAGAATCTTCTTCATAGACAAGTTGTCGAAAGATTCCATTCATTCCATTAATAAGGTCCAGTTCAATAGCAATATTTTGTGTTAAAATAACAGGCACTCCAGGAACAAAAGGTAAAAGACCTGGTAAATGCTCCGTTTTGCTGTCGGATAATTCTAGCAATTTTTTAATGAGTGTTGGATCTTCAATTGGTTTACCTTTGCAGGTGTCTTGAGCGACACATGCCGTGGGTGTTTGTTTCATTTCTGTTGCTTTGTGAATTACTGCCTTATTGTTCAATTATGTTCGAACTTCATTCCGAAACACAAGAATCGGAGCCTAAAACAGACGAAGATAGGGAATTATTGGAAATGGAAAATAAATCATACTTTATTCCAAGGTGAATCACGTAGAGAGCCTACTGATGATTGCCAAATAACTCGTGTTAACGATAGTTCATAATCGCCGTATTTACATTGTCCATGACGAAGTCGTTCGAGTAATTGAAGGTACCGTGGATCTTCCGTTCGTATTTGTTGGGTAAGTTTTACGACGCAGTTAATTTGAAGAATTAAAGAACGTGCAACACGTTGTTGAATTTATTTTTCATTGGGCTGTTTACCTGATCTTTTTTTCGACTGCAATGAAAAATCGGTATGTAATGGTGCATCATACACAGGTAGATATTGTGAATAATCACCGAAGAAAATAACATTTACACCACCGAATGGAACTTGCAGATTGACATGTTGTGCAGAACAAATGATTCGGTTGAGTTTTGCCAGTAAATTTATACCCGCCATATTCATTTCATCGATTAATAGATATTCGACAAGCCTCCATTCTTTTTCGAGTTTTGAACCACCTGGTTTTATAGTTCGTGGCTTTCCAGAATTATGGTGTTCATCCAAAAATGAATGAATTGTCATTCCACCTATGTCAGCAGCAGCAGCAATTCCAGTTGGTGCAAGCTTTCGCATCATTTGCATTCTCTTTGTAATTAGAAAGTATTTGCTGAGAGTACAAATAAGTTGTGATTTGCCTGTACCACCACATTCAGGTATGCACATTATAAGCGGACCATTATTATCATCTAAAAATACTTTGTATTTCAATTCATGATAAATTATTTTGTAAAAGTATCTGTACGATAACGACTATCACCATCAAGATGACTTGTTATTATGATGAATGCAGCTTGTTGTTCTTTATTTAATGTAAATTCGTCAGCGATGATTTTTTGAGTGGAAAAGTTAGTTGTGATCGAGACCACTGGAAGAGTGGAGCCATAATTTTCAAAACTGTTTTTATTATCATTACTCCGATTCACTACTGTTACAACGGCATCTTTTACAGCGTGTAAATCTAATGTATCATCTGCTTTGTCATAGTGGCCTGTAATTAAACCTCGTCTAACCCATTCTTTTTCATTCCTCAGTTGTTCTTGCCATTGTGTGTTTAATCGAATAAGGTTTGGTGTTGCAAAAATGAACGATACAAGCTGTTGATTTGCATAATCGATAGATTCATTTGAAGAAGATTGACGATGAGCTACAACAAATTTTACATATTTATTTTCAATTTTAACTAATTAATCATCTTAAAGTATTATTTACTATTTATATAACTAAATTATCCAACATTTTCGACTGCTTCAGTAGTTTCTTCAATATATTTATCTTCTGTTGAGGCTTTGGTGGTATTAATCGCTGCATGCGTGTATTCATCTATGTTGCCTAGTAATTCTAATAAGTCTTCGCTATCGTCCATATCATATTCGCCATCAACATCTTGATTTGCAGGTAAAAGAACAGGATCGATTGCGTCATTATCAGTTTGAGCTTCAGCAATCACGTGAAGTATATGTTCATCGCGATCTTTTTTACATTCATATAAAAGTTGAATATTTTCTATGATCTACCATGAACGAAAGAAAGTACGATTTTGTCGGGATTTAAAATCTTCTCCCCATCTTTGATTGACGTCACAAAGATCGGTAACGGTGCTTCAAGGTACGAAAAGTGTGAAAAGAGCTCGACTATATTGTTCTCGAATATCGTCACGATCTCGTCGAGGAATTTGTGGACCATAAAGAATAGGTACATGATACTCACCGTATTTCATCAATGGATGTGTTGTTGTTTGTGGATATTGCGTTTGAAAAGGATAACGTGCATCAGCTGATCGACCTTTTTGGTTACCTGCTTCTTCCACTGGTACTCCAGTCTTCGATAGATATTTCATATCTGCTGCATTTATTTTTTTTCTTATATAATATGCTGACAAAGTCGTATAAACACATATTATTAAGAATGTCGGAGCGATATTGATAGTCAATTCTTATGTTCACAAGTACGTATCTTTCGTTGTTTTCAGTCAATTGTATCTGAAAATGTTCTTCTTCGTTGTTTTCATTGTCAATCGTGTCATCGTCGATTATATCTGTATACAAAAGACAATATATATATAATTTTCTATCTTATTATGATATTTTAACGCACGTGATCTTCACTGTTTCTCTTATACAACAGAAATAACAGTTATGATTTTTTTATTGTGCGGTTTAAGTAGTGTAATTATTCTACTAAATACTTAAACTTTACTGAATCTTCACAGTTCTGTCTTTCTATATCATGAAAAGTCATGTTAACCAGTCAATTCAATCGTTCCGATAAAAAATCAAGAAATAATTTTAATCATCTAAAATGTTTATGATATCTAAGGAATGACTCGTGAAAACAATCCAGCAGTGTGAGAAGATAACCATAAATGAATGAGAATATTTGAAAGACATCAAACAGAACATTTCGAAGATACATAAAGATGAAAGAGAGGAGAGAAAAAGAAAAAAATATCATACTGGTTCTCTCTACGGCATCTATAGTAAAAAAAAGATTTATATATATATAATGATCAATATCACTGCTACATTTCTCATGATATCAAAGTATTTTTTGATGAACAAATAACCCATGACTCAACTTCTAAAGAAATTCTCTTTCACTTCTCTTTTCCTTTTTCCAATATATCAATATAGTTTATGATCACTTTTCAATAATACTTAGTACTAAACGATCAAATAAAATAAAATACTGACCGTGTGCTGACAATTCCAATTTTTGTTTGGAGCGTATTTCATTCAGTTAAGCTTATAAATAACGCTCAGTTTGAATTAGATGACGACTTTGAAACTTGTGTATAGTGTAATGATCATCCCAATTCATCAGATAAGAAGCAATTTGAACTTCAGATAGTTCTTGTTGAGAAGCAAGTGTATTGTAACAACGTAAAACGAGATTTCGTGATTTTTCAATTGTACTTTCATTGCTTGACTGTTACAATGAATTCCGAAGTGATGTAATGCTTTTTTGTACAAGATCAAACGTATCATGAAAAGAACGACTCATCTTTGTCACATAGTCAGTAATATAATAAACAAGAGCGTTTGCATCACTGCTACTCCAAATAGATTTGATATCCATGTTGGATCGACATGGGGTGATGAAATATTCATTAAAGTTATTGATCATTGGATCCGATCGTCGCATTGAGATAGGACCAGTGTCTGGATCAATCGTCAAAACTGGTACTAACTTGTGTGGCATACACATACGACAACTTTCTTATCGCTTCGATTGACGTTCCAATACTTATAGCAAGTGTCACTGTGCTTGTGAACATCGCTTGTTTCAACAAGTTGCACGGCATCTGCACGAAATCTTGATGCAAAGTTAGGTGACGATGGATTTGGAGTAGGTAAGCAAGCTGGAATTAAGTATGATTGATTATATAGAACATCTGTACCTATAATATTTATGAATACTTGGTCTTCTTTTAATATCTACTATATCGTACCGACTGTCGATCGGTCATGTGTTGGTGTTTGTAGCGATCTATTCCATGATGGAGAATTATAAGGAATCGATGAAGAACATTGTTGTTTCATCGGTGTCGACAGAAAATGATATTCATGAGTATTTTCTGCAAAGCTTGTCAAATCAATAGTACGTAAAGCGGTATAAATATTATCTTGTGATAATCTTATAGGAGTATTGAATGATCTTGACACTAAAACAAAAAAAAAACAAAAGTTGATATTTGAATAAGATAAAAACATTCTATACCGTTTGAATCTTCAAAGGCATGTTTGCTTTTGAAATCATCTAAACCTTCTTTGATGATGTCTTCTAAATATGCTTTTAACTTATCACGAAAATTGGCATCTTGGATTCTTTCTTCCATATCGGCTAGTTTCATATCATGGCCAAGCCAAATAAGGAGATGTAAATGAAGCGAACCTCGGCCTTGACTTTCAGCAGTACCGAAATAAGCCTTTATTGGTCCAAGAACACCATCAATAATCATAGTATTTAAGATATTAGTAATCAATAAATGAAAAAATTTTGCAGTAGCAACTGGATGAAATGCTATAATTTCAGCCCTTTTGTAAGTATTTATAAGTTGTTCTATTTGAATGTTGTCCAAATCAAGTTTAACGCCTGCAAAATATAGTGCTACAGGACTATGGATATCGACCGGATTTAGAGTTAGAAAAATATGGGGCAGACTTTGACCATTGATTAGTGCATGAATAAGAGTGCGTAAAGCCGTTCGTGAATTTGCTGAACCCATAATTCGGCCGCCGATGGTTTTAATATGTTGCAGTAATTTGTTCAGTACACTGTTTGATTCTGAACTATATGTTCTTTTGCAATTGTTGTCCAGGACTATTTCAATATCTTTACTATTCAAAGATTGAATTCATCGGCAGATGCTTGAAAATAAGGCTTTGTTGTTATCAATTGAGGATGTGGGTGTGGGTGTGGGTATGGGTGGGTGTGGATGTGGATGTGGGGTGTGGAAGTGGATGTGGGGTGTGGATGTGGATGTGGGGTGTGGATGTGGATGTGGGGTGTGGATGTGGATGTGGGGTGTGGATGTGGGTTTCAGTTTGTATGTTGAAAATGAGACACCCACGCCCACACCCAAGAAAAATTCCTGCTTTTAGGTCTTTTCCATCAGATCTACCATAATAATGACAAAATAGTATTTGTTTTATTGCCCCGATTGTCTGATTTTTCTGAAGTTATTGATTACACTGGTTTCTGTTTGATTAAATTGATTTTTCTGATTTAACGTTGAGAGAAAGTTTTAAAAAATCAAGTGTTTACCATCGATTTTAATCAAAAAAATTGAAAAATAAATCGTTTTAATCCGTGCAATCAGTTAATCAAAAAAATCTGATTTCGGCACTGTCCTCCTTGATGTGATATCTAACCTCTTTTGTTTATATATTACAACAAGAATCCTTCTACATGAGGTTTACAGATGTAGAAAAGTTTTGCAGACAAGCATTCAAGAATGATGAGAATTGTTTCCATCTAGACAGCAACCACCTAAACCCTTTATTACGTGTCTATTTATTACCTTTTTTTGTTTATCCATGATACTACAAACACTTGCAACAATTTCGCTTTTCTAAACACTTATCATATCAGATGGGACTGGGCGGGGTGATGGCGGTGGGACCGTCAACTAGGCGGGACGGAAGCGGTTCGACTGTCAGACAGCCGAGACTGGACGAGGCGATGGTCGGGTGACTTTTTAGCTACCCCGCTCATGTCTGATAATCATCGTTGTTCTTTTTATCAGATGAAATCATGACATATCGTGGATTCATGAATGTCTTTGACACAATCTTTGAAGATGATTTACTCATTGTGTACTTCTATTACGAATCAAAAACCAATCTGAAACAAATCGTTACTATATCGTGTAATAAAAAATTATGTTTAACTTCTCCAATAATGTACGATTCGGCCGTGTTTTGATTTCTATCTTATAGCTGATAGTTCCAATAAAATCTATAATAATATCTTAGTGCATCATTACTGTTTTAACAACCCGAGATCCATGCAAATCAAAGGTAGACAATAAAGGGATGTTTGAGAGTTGAGAACGACGCTGATAAATGCTCTATTATTATCTCTCCTGTATGTTTATTTTCGTCTTTGTCTTTTTCAGTAAATAAAAGGTACTGCGAATAAATTAAATTGATGTCTTCATGGTTTTGTTGAAAGCTTCTTCTTATCGTACTTTTGTTGTGTATATTACATACGAAATGAAACTAAAGTGCCCGGGAGTTGGTTACGGTTATCGTATACAGACCGTATACGATTCAAATACGGTGTCTTTACGGTCGCAGATGGTTAGATATGGGTCGTTCACGCACCGTATTTTACCGTAAAGCAGATCGATGTTTTACGGCCATATATGTACTGTATCGTTTATAGCATCCAAGGTCAATAAATCAGACCGTAAGATCCATCAAAGATTCTTGCACGATCAATTAACATATTACAGTAATATCGTATATATTCAAGCAAGATCATACGAAAAACCGTACAAAAAAATCATCCTTCATGCAATCTTACATCAAGACTGATGAGGAAACATATTTGAGTGTACCCACGGAGAGTGATTTTAAAATCATTCTATTCTATGGAGACCTTCATGAATATCTCGGATATGAATATCTTAGTTAGCCTCGCTTAGGTTTAAAACAAAGAGAAAACCAAACTTTTTCAATTTTCGATCATATTCTGATGATAAATGTATCATAAAGTTTTTTCATTTGTTTGCGAAATTCGCTAGAATGATGATTTCATTTTTAGAAAGAGCTTTAGAAAATCAATCAGATTCGTTATGAGAGCTAACTGTCTATCGAAAATAGTAGTATCATATTTATTTTTCATCTAAGTATTTCTCAGATTGGGCACTATTTTTCTTTTCGTAATTCAGTAGTAATAGCCAGAAGTGTTCTTAATACTTTTTTTCATGATTTGGATTTTCGAATTCGGATTGGTTAAATCATTTGACAAGACCCTTGAGCAAGGTCGAAACACGTATTATAGTAGCTTGTCTCAAATCTTTTTCTCTAGATTGTGATATTGACAAACCATACTTCACCCACTTATCTCCGTGCTACGTTGCTACTGTCCAATAAGATATTCATGCAATGTGTCATGCATCTCTTTTTTTCTGTTCTATTTTGACGAAATAGTTTTGCCTTCATAATCATGCTCGTACGTTGTTTTAGTTAGTCAGCGGACACACATCTCTTATCTTCTATTACGCATATTCTAGAAAGATTTCCCCCTGTTGTAAGATAGATTTGAACATTTCCAAAGCTTCAGTATCCTTTGCTTTGAATAATATATTTCTTTTTCACTTGTACTTTGCTTTCGTCGAACTTTGATTTATTCTTTTCTGAAGTAGAATTAAGATGTGTTTTTTTTCTTGCTTATGACATTGCATGTTTGGAGCTGATTATTGAGGGTGTTAGTGGGTGGCTTAGGGTAGTGGTTCTACCCACATTCTCACTCAGCGTTAGGAACGTTTTGCTTTAAAAGTATCATATTAGATATTTGATGGCCATGCCCAATCAATCCAAAAAAGTATACGACATATATGATCGTTCGAAAAAAGGCCGTAGCCCTATGCCTCGCTTTATATTTTCTGTCCTACATGCCATTAATCCGTACATTCAATACATCACCATCTTTCATGGATACGCTCGTCAAATCATTTCTAAACTCGGTATCACCACTTTTCCGCCTGGACATAAAGGACAAGTCCTGGTCGCTATGCTCGTAGTCGCTGTTGTCAAACAAATTATTAACATTACCTACGTCCAAGAAGAACAAATAACCTATTCTTTCGCGATCACGATATCTATTTTTGAAATATTTTCCAATTCGCTCGTTGCACTTTCATCTCTGATCTATAGTCCATCAGAAAATCTTGATACTCTACAATATATTGGCATATTGTTGTTTACAGAGGGTATTCTCATAGAAACCATTGCGGAATTTCAACGCAAAAAATTCAAGGACAATCCGATAAATAAGGGCAAAAATTATTCCGGTGGTCTGTTTTCTCTTGCCCGTCATATTAATTATGGAGGTTATACACTATGGCGTACTGGATTGGCTCTGACAAGTGGAAATTACTGGTTGGCAGCTCTTCAATTCTTCGGTCACACGTGGGATTTTACAATGAGAGCTGTGCCAAGTTTAAATGAACATTGTAGTAAGAAATATGGTGATAGTTGGAAGAAGTTTGAACGCGATGTACCATATATTTTATTTCCCTATGTTTGGTAAACAAAAAAATTGGTACAACCTTGCTTGATTTTTCTCCTTCGAATTTTTTCTTATTATATCAAGATTTTTCATTTGAAATTAATAACATGACAGAAATTCTTTCTAAAATAAAGCGTCGTGTATTACAAACATGAATGTGTCACTATGTGAGATCAGCCTAGACAATCCGGATCTTAAATCGGCTTCTTTCTTTCAAGAATTTAGCATCATTCTTGGATAGCAGAGCGATCTTTGACAAACGTCCACACAGTATCACCAGCAGAGATGGAACCGGTCTGAATTATTTTTGATGATCGGCACCGGTTCCATCTCTGGTCACCAGTGCTGCGATTTAGAGGCTAAAAGAGTGAAGCTTCAAGGTGAGTATTTTCAATGCAAATATTTTCTCGCTTACATTGAATCGAACAAACAAAATCTTCTTCATGTCGATTTTCTCGATGCTCTATCGTTGTCATAGAAAATTTGTTCCTTCTGTACACAGCGTATCAATCTGATAACGATCAATGTCAGGAAAGATCGATTGACAACAGGCGATAAGTGTTACGAATCTGATAAAATTGATTCAATTTGCCATCTGTTCTTTGCTTTTTGCTACGCCAAGTCATCGAAGTTTGATATGCGACACTTCACAAAGATCAGAACTATCTTTGAATATCTACGAATATTGACAAGATCTTCATTCGTTTTACTGATCATTGAAGTGAGAAAAGAAATTGAAGTCCATTATTTGCTTAGATGATCGATCACGGTGCTTAGAACATCGGTTTACATGAATTCTTATGATCTTCCATGCCACAGAATCTGACACTAATAATTTTCTACAAGTCAGATTCAGGACCAGTGCTTCATTAAAGAACTCACTCAATCAATATCTAATCTTGCCGAGCCACAGCTTAAGCCAACGTCTACTTGATTTGTAATGTGACTCTCCCTTTCCTTCTACCAGATATTCGATAATATCCGAGATAGAAGGTGTGGGTGTGAGTGGCTGTGGATGGCTGTGGATGTGGGGTGGGTAGAAGAACAGCACAAACACATTACACAACACCCACACTGCACAATCACACCCACCCATACCCACACCCTACTATGTCTCTCAGAGTCGTTTACAGATCAGAAAAGATTATACGATATGACTCAGTTCTCTTGTCTTGAAATCACAAGACGACGTTTGATAACACAATGACGAATATGTATCAAGTTGGCAATTCTCATATGCTGAGAATGTGAGCTTTGAACGGTGGAAGAGCAGAGTCTTGATGTGTACATGCTAAAGATTTCTAGAAGGCTTGTGGATTTCCTTGACTTTCTGGAATCTAGAACTCAGCTTTCTCTTCTAGGATTTTCGATTATCAGGGTGAATCCGAATTTTCTGTAAGGAATTGTAATTATGTGCAATATGAGAAAAGTCTAAATAATAACAATTATTTCTCGATATTTCGGCGATTTTCGTGTGTTTTCGCTGAATCACACATTTTAACTATGGCTTCATTTGTTAGAAACAAAATGAAAAGATTACTCTCTCTCTCAGTATACTGGCATGAGAATAGCAACATTTGGCAGAAATGCATGCATTATTTTAGAGCAAGACGTACGACAAATATTATTTTTCAGATTAATCTTGGTAAAAATTAAGCGCACCAAACCGATTATCTCTACTGCAATTAAGTAGTATGCTTTTTTTTTTTGCCTATCTCTTTTCAGCTCATAAAAGAGAAACATGTCCAAGCAACATGTAAGTTGAGAAGAAAAATGTTCTTCATTTTGATGCATGTCTCTATGCATTTTCTTTTTCATGCAGCTGATTATCAAGACTTATGTGGAGAAAGTAATTTAAGCCTACCTTTTTTTGTTCTGTCAGTAATTATTGAGCAGACGACTCACATGAAAATTATAATACACTGGTTGACTATTTTCTCTGTTGTGTATGTCAAAACTCATTCCAGCACTATGCTCATACTGTAAAGGTAATCTGGCTATGTAGTGGTACTTCCTGAAAATATACACTTCAAAAAAGAAATGTATATTGAACCTTTGTATGGATATAGAGAGATTTTTTTAGCTAAACCATCGCTCAGTGCCATTTGAAAATTTTATAATGTCTTATAAGATCATAAACTGGTTTCTTAGGAAGATCGTGATCTGAGTTGTATTCAAAATGGATTCAATTCGAAACATTAAAAAAAGGTTTTCAAAGGAGAGAAATTACTAGATCTACATGCAAATAATAAAGAATCTTCAAAGGCTTTTCATATATAGTTCAACAAAATCGATTGTGTGGAAACCTTACTACCTACTAATTGCAGTTCGAAATGAGACCTGTTCCATCAAATATTAAATATACTGATATGACAGAAAACTTCAAACAAATCAGATTCTAGGCTCTTGTTTCTCAACTCTAGACCACTTTACTAGTTTTCCAAATCGACCTGAAATCTTCTTTATGACGAGGTATCATGGTTTTCAGAATAAATTGAAAGTGTTCATACAAAGAGACAAAAACAAAATTTATTCTCAAGACAATTCGAAGTCATTCAACAATCCTTGGAAGTCTCTGAAATAGTTTTCGACGCTTCGGAAACCAATCAGTTTTCAAAAGCACCGATTTAAATATTCTGAAAGTATTCCTAATAACTGTTGTGTTACTGTCGAAAACCTATTAAGCTTTGCTGAAACTGTAAAGAAATAAAAGAAAACCAAGATTGCCGAACAAATTGATTTAAAATCTAAAAGGATTTCTGGAGATACATTTTCGACTCCCGAACAATTTCTAAAACCATTATCATAAAGAAAATTAAAGAACAAAGTTCGATCAACGTTTTCGAAATCGAGGAATCGGAATCTATAAGTGGTTTTCCGTAAAATGTTGAATTTGGAGATGCTCAGGAACGGTGTTTAGAATCGGATTTCTTCACCCCAAAAGACTTCGGGCGAGCTTTTTGAAAAATCGTTATTTTCGTAACAAAATCTTCCACTGACGGAAAACTTAAACTGGAAATTTTGAGAAACTACGAATAGTATTTCTTGCAAAGGTTATTTTGAGTGCCTGCCATGAAAAAATACATTTCAGCTGTAACTGCATTATCGCAATCTGGATCAATTTATAAGGCAGTTGTATGGATACATATTTGTATATAGGTGTGATCTAGTAGTTTGTATGTCCGTTTTCGAATTTGGAGATGTGGTAGAAAGTTAGTATTCGAGTTTATCCTTGTAAAACGAAATAAGAAAGATTCCAAACTAGAAATTACTATGACGGTGTGCGCAATAAAAAGTAACACAAGAAAGTAAACTATAAGAAGTATTGTTACAGCGTAGGCAATGAAAGATAACATGAGCAAACATATAATAAAAGTTTCTATGACAATGTAAGTAATAAAAAGTAATATGGAACTGAAATGGATACAAATCACTTTGACAGTGTAATAAATAACAAATAATATGGGAAAGTAAGGAATAGAAATTACTATGACACTGTAAGTAGTCAATAGTAATTAGTAGGAGCTTTTTGGATCACACGTTTTACATGAGTAGTTTAAGGGTTCCAAGTATTTGCAAACATCTGTTCGCAAATCGTTAAAGAGTTTCCAAATGCATTAATATTAGAAAGCCTTCAAGGATTTTGAAGGATAATTTGTTTTTAGAGTGTAGGATGGCAAAGTTCCAAGATCTCTCTATGGTATAAATTAGATAGAAAACAACTCGACGCTAGATGTATATTGAAGTGTATAAAGATTTATTCCCATAACTGTTTTCTGACCGAGCACGCCCCAACTCAGTATGTCTGGTTCGAAATCTTACTAGTAAGTTACTATTCACCGGGAAACTTTCATAAAGACTTCATATTTGATAGTGACTCGTTAATCAAGCCTGCTACGAAATATTTCGTAGTACTCTTTGAAAGAAAGTAAATTTCAAAGCCCTCTGAAGAGTTTCAGAGAGTAGAAAAACCAGAAAACCTTTCAAGGTTTCCGAATAGGTGTTTCTGAATGCTGAAGATCCTTAAATGACCCGTGTAACATGTGTAACTCAAAAACGTCCCTATTAAATACTTTTGGCTTAATTATGTAAAGTAGAAAAATGCTAATCAGTGAACCTATTCGAGTAACCATAAGTATACTTCTCAGAAAAACGTATTTTTTACTTTTTGTTATTTACGCTTTGATAGTACTGTTTAACTCTTACTTTCCCATACTATTTTTTATTACTTACACTGTCATAGTAATTTTTATCATGTATTTTCTCATGTCACCGTTGATCGCTTACTTTGTGATACTACGTGTTTATATTTTCTTTCTCATATTACTTTTTTTGGTCACACTTTCATCGTAATTTTTAGTTTAGAATTTAACTTATTTCGTTTCTCAAAGGTAAATTCCAATGGTCACCTTTTTGTCACATCTTTGAATTTGAAAACAGGCATAGAAATCACTACACCACACGTGTAACCAAAAATGTATGCATGAAACTACCTTATAAATTGATCTAGATTGAGATTGCGTAGTTATAGCTCAAAAGTGCATTTTCTGTGCATTGCTTAATAATAATTGTCTTTGACAAGCATCTAAAACAATTAACTTTTTTGGAAAAAGTATGATAAGTGGTTTCTGAAAATTTTGAGGTTCATTTTTCAGACCAAGGAAAGCCATTTTTAGGAAAATAATGATTTTTCATAAAGCTTAAACGAAGTTTTTTGGAGTCAAGGAATCTGACTCTAAAGATCCTTTCCGAAAATCTTCGAGTTCGATGTTTTACGGGAAAGCACTCATAGATTTGGATTCCTTGATCTCGAAAACTGTGATCGAACTTAGTTCTTTGATTTTTTGTGGCAATCATTTCAGGATTTATTGAAATCTTGAAAACCTACCTCGGAATGCCTTCGAGTATTCCTGGAAACGGGCTTGTTAGAGTGTGAACTCTAATCTGAACTCCATAGGACTGATGCAGGCGAGTTACTATATCATACAGTTTAACAGACAAAATAGCTTTACATTCGATCACTCTTATTCGCAAACATAAGTGATGTTTTAAACTGTGATTTTCTCCTATAAGTTCGACCGATGTGTTTGAAAAGAAAATCAAAATTGCAAGAACGAACACTTTCTCACAGTGAATCTATTCTACTGCAAATGATAAATTCAAATAACGATTGAGCGACTATTCATCTGTCTCTTTCCTACATGTGATTATCCTTTTAAATACCCATTGTACTTCCCACAAGAGCATGAGCAAGATGTAGGTGAGATTGTGGTCTTTTTTTCAGCAAAACTCACATAAGCTGAACCTAAGGCAAAATTGGTTGAACGAAGAGAAAGTAAGAACACATAATAGTATCAGGCGGAGAACTATATTTTGATAAAATGGAACTGAAAACTAATGATTTTGACCTGAAAAAACCACTTCAAGTATAAGATATTTGATAAAAGTTCGAGTAAAAAGATATAGAAAGGAATCTGTTATCCTGAAGAATAGTTGAGACTCATTGTTCTAGTTATATCTAGGTAATAACATTTTTGAAACAATTTGTAAGGAGAATTGCTTAGAACTGTCTTTGCTGGAGAAATCTCTTATTTACATACATCAGCCATAAGTAGAGCTGTCAGAGTCAAGAAATACCACAAAAAGATAAATATTGAAAGACCATTCTTTCACAGTTATTACTACTTTAAGTGAAAAAATTTCAAATTAAATATGAAACAAAAAATAATAATCACTGTAAAAGAACGGTTGTTGAATATTTATATTTTTGTAATTTTATTGAGCTCGTATCGTTCGAAGTATGGCTAACGTATGATATTAAAATTCTCTTCTATTCATTCAAAACTCTCGTATGTTTCTTACAAATCATTTCAAAAATGTTATCATGTATACATAATGAGTTAATTTCATAAAACATTACAAAAAGGGGAACAGTAGAAAAAAGTGGAAAAGTTCTCATCGATAGTTCAAATGTAAATACTTTTGTCTTCTGTATAAATGCAGACAAAATCAAATAAGAAAGTGAGACAGATATTAGTTTTATTGTTTTTTGACAAGGATCGTAGTGTTTCTATCACCATTATGAACTTTTGATTGTAAAAAAATATTCCGACAAAAAATTGATACGTTAAAATATTCTTCTTGTTGTTTCTTTATAATTAATAGTATATATAAAGTATGTAAAAAATATATTCGTATTTATCCAAAACTCTATCATTGGTTCTCATCATAATGCTATCACCATTCTCATCAACTAATGACAACAATGATTCAAATATCATTGATTTACTGTATAAATTGTGTAGAGAAAATGAAATAGAAAAAGTTCGAAGTCTTTTACCATTTATTGGCAATATAAATATTATAAATAAAATTCAAAATTCAAGTTTTATTAGAGTATGGAGCTCTACATTCCATAAGAAATTTACGACATAACTTAACACCTTATGAAGAAGCTCAAACAGATGATATAAAACAATTGATTTTAGAACATCAAAAATTATTTTCAAATAATGACTATGATTATATTGAATGGTCAGTAGTAGGCGATGATCTTCTTGGAAAACGACGTGAATTTCGTCAAGCTATCGATGTGTACAAAACTTATGATAATCATCATTTAGTATCAAAATTATTAGCTGAAGTTATTCATTATTATTTAAATGAATATCTGGTAAATCAAAGTAATGATACTGGCAATCCTGAAAATCAAATTACTCGTAAACAAATTGAAACTATTGAAACATACTTTAAAGAAGCTATAGTAAAACAAGATTTTTTAACATACTTTATCAAAGCTTATACATTAACAAATTTTTTTTATAAAGTATTAAATAGAAATTTAGCTCTGTATATATTAGAATATTTTGATGAAACAAAAATGTTTTCATCAAATTATCGTCTTGTAAATTGTCTTGTTCATATTGTTACACTCTTAATTTATCATCCAAATTTACCTCAATATCAATATCAAGGTGTATGTTATCGTGGTATGAGAATAACACAAAATGATTTAGATCAATATCAATTAAATCAACATATATTAAATCGTGCATTTCTGTCAACATCTATTGATCGACAAGTAGCTGCGATGTTTGCTGGTGAAGATCAACAATCTCAAATGAGATATACTTCTAAAGATCATCGTGCATTACAATATTCATGTTTATGTCAATATTTAATAAAGCAAAATTCAACAGCTATGAATATAGAAAGTTTATCCACAAGACCCGATGAACAAGAAATTTTAATTATTCCATTTTCCGTTTTTAAAGTGATGGCAATTAAACGAAATTATCTTGATGATTCAACAGCATCGATTTCAATTGAAATTGAATTAGAAGAATGTGAAGATGTTATGGATGATAGTAAAGAACTAGAAAGTATGCTTTTTCTTCAATGTCTTAACGAAAATTTCTTCTTTTCATTCTATTTCTTAAATTTTCAGGTGACAAAGCATCGAGATCATTATCATTGTCATCATCTGATAATGATATCAAAGATACCAAAGAATATGTAAAATTTAAACGGCGAAGATATTTTTTATATGGAATCATTGTACTTTTGATATTAGGTGTTCTTGTGGCCTTAGCTTTTGCATTCATTTTTACTTTTGCCGTTAAAAAGAATTCTACGAAAAATACTATAAATAACACAACGACTGCATCAAAAACGAATGATATTTTCTATTACCACTTACCAGAAGGTAAAAGTTACACAATAAAATAAGCTAAAATATGAAACCTCTTTTCTCAACTTCTTTGACTTTAGGTATGTCACCTGCTAGCTTTTGCATTTCTGGAAACTCAGCAAGTTAAATAACAAGAAATCCACTACCATTAGTTTATGAATTTTTTAGAAACTAGAAATACAGGAAATTCAAAATATCTTACGAGTGTTTCTGATTTATTACTAATTTCTAGGCATTAGGAACAAGCTAGAAACATGAAGAAAGGAATCTTCAATTTACTTAGCTGCATCACATATGAATTTCTAGTCTGTATAGAATTCATTGAGTAGTGCATTTCTTGCTAACTGACAGATAATAGGTTGCAAGTTTTCACAGATTCGGGAGCTCACAGTCAAATATACTACAGATGTTTAGGTGAAAGTCTCAAAGGTAAATGCGAAGAAGTGTTTTTTTTCCTTGAGAAGGAAAACCTGAAATTCTTATTTGTTTTATTCTATCTATTTCACGGCATATTTCTAAACCATCCTATTACTTATCCATCAGGAACTGGAATATAGATGTAGTTCATATATTATAATAAGACATTATTGATGTACAGTCATTGATCGTATATCAACAACGTCTTGTACAACCAGTGGTGAGGTAGTAGGATAATCATTCACCATCAGTGGACAGGAGTTAATTGGTTCACTTTTCTTTCAATATCTTCAACCGTCCATCCATTAAATACTCATCAATTATTTATTAAGAATTCATTAATGAGCTACGAATGAATAATTTGAATGAAACGTCTTTCATAACTCTGTCGCAGTGAAAGGGGGCTCAAGTATTCTTTCTTGAACTAGTACAAAATAAAAATTTTTTATACGTACTTTTTGTAGGCTGTCCCAGTATATTGAATCGATCTAGCTGGAATGCACGTCCACATCTATTTCGTGAAAACCTAACAATATTCCCGGTCACACACATTGTTATAAGACAGTTGACAGATTTGAAACCAATTATGAATCAACAAGATTGTATTAATGAAATAAAAAATCTTCAAGATTTTCAAATGGATACACAAGGTTGGGCTGATATTGGTTATAATTTTCTCATATGTAACTATAATGAGGATCAACAACAAATTTATAGAGGTAGAGGATGGATATATCGTGGCGCACATTGTCGCGATTATAATTACGACTCTTTGGGTAACAATGAATTTCACTTTTTACTTTCTAGAACAATGCCTTCTAGATTATTACCATTTAGCTTTGATCTAATATTTGTCTTCTTAAAAATAATTAGAAATTTAGATAAAAATTGTTGAGTAGTTAGAGTTGCTAAGAATCTTAGTACGAAAACTCACGAGAACTTAAGAGATCCTAATATACCAAAGAGATATAGAAACAGAGACGGAATAATACCATTTTTAATTGTTCTATACATGGCATGCGTCAAGAATGTCATTTATCCAAAAAGGACTGTCTATGTTTCCCGACATAAGGGTATCTCAGTTGTAGAGATTGACTAACATTTTGTGAAAACTCAATGGCAACAAATTTTTTTAGTTTTTGATATATAATCTAAATTACCCTGCTTCCCTCTTTAGCAGAGAATCTTTATGTTCAGGGCTTTTCCTTAAAATAGTCATAAGAAGTGGGAGCTTCAGTGTCTCTGAAAACAGTTTCCGTGAAAATATGCAAGATTGTAACTTTTATAATATATCTTAAATTAAGACAAATCTGCGAATATTCATTGAGCGTACTTCCTAGACATCGATTGGACCATATGTTTATTTGTTTTTTTAAAAGGTATTGGTACTATTCGCAATTATACTAGTATAAAATCTCTAAACACATTTAAATCATTAAATAAATGTGGGATTACAGAGAATGCTATTGTGCAAAAATTTACATTGGTTGGAGAAGAATTGTCAAGAGGTATTTACGAATACTATTTGCAATGCTTCAACAATGATCCCGAGCTTCAATACAACAATCAAGCTGACAGCTCACAATATTTTTGTCAAT